CAGGTGATTGCTGAGTATATTGATGTGCTTAGGCCACTAAAACAAGCTACAAAACGGCTTGAAGGCCGCGGCAAAAGCGGTGCTTTTGGAGCAATCGCTGAGGTTATTCTAGTATTTGAATACTTACTTGGAGTCTATGAGGACCGCTTGCAAAGCTATGAAGACGTCATTTATGATGAGCATACAGAGTCACCCGAAGACCACCTTGCTATCAACCTCCGCGCTGCCCTAGTTAAAGCCCGCGAGTACTACAACAAGCTCGACCTCTCGCCAGCTTACTATGCTGCTATAATCCTTCATCCTCGCTACAAAAGCTACCTTGACGCAGCGTGGGCGGATAAGCCTGATTGGCTAGAGAGCAGCAACCGCAAGTTTCAACATTTGTGGGCGGAGTACAAAAGCTTACCGAAGCCGCGCTTACGCTCTAAAGTTAGGCACAATGATATAGAAGACGCTATTAACAGCTTTATTAAGCCGGCAGGGCTTACGGAGAACGAGGAGGATGAATATGAGGCTTAGAAACGCAGCGAACCGATCGCTAGCGAGGGCGTCGACCCTATAAAATACTGGGTAGGACTCCGCGATCGCTACCCCAGCCTTAGCAAATTTGCTATCGACATGCTATCAATCCCAGGCTCAAGCTGTGAGTGTGAGCGCTTATTCAGCGAGCTGGGTGACCTCCTCGAGCCCCGTCGGCGCAGCATTTCTCCGCAACTTCTAGCAGCAATACAGTGCGATCGACGATGGATAAGAGCTGGATTTGGCAGTGGTGAGGTGCCTGTAAAGGAGGCTATCAGCGATGAGGAGATGGACGCGAAATACGGTGTACATAAGTGGGATATTAGCTGAGAAACTCAACACCAAGGTTTCTATATAACTTTCCTAATCGGGACTGAGCCCATCAAGCCGAGCGAGCTGACAGCCCTGTTTCAGCCAATCCGAGCGAGCCGAGCGAGCTGCTGGCCTCCGCTCAATTGGCTGAGCAAGCCAATTGGCTGAGCTCGCTCAGCTTGCTCATTGACATCTGTGCCCACCAAACCCTGAAGTTATACTTAAGAGATTCCGCAAAGAGGCATCTAGTTCAGATGAAAGCTCAACTTCTGTACTTAGTGGAGACGATTGGCTCAAGATTGAGTCTATTGTACGCCGTACAGTGAAAGATCAGAGCAGTAAGGACGTCAAGAAGCTTCGACGAAGTCTACACCACATCTCAGCTCAAAATAGTATCCTCCGTGGAGAGATTAGGGGCCTTAAGGAAGCTCTTTTAGTGAAAAAGAGACACCAAAAGAAGAGCTATACTCTACAACTTAACAACCCTGAGGAGTACCACGGTGGAGCTGTCTTTTGGTCTCCTCGTAAGGTCCGTCAGGCTCGGGACGATGAAGCAGTTCGACGACAACAACAACAAGAACTACAGCTTCAAAAAGCTGAGAGATCTCATCTTAAGGAGCAGGCTCGACTGTACAGGCTTCAACAGGCCAACGAGAGGCGTGTTGAGAGAGAAAGACTTAAGGAGGTGAGGGAGAAGGAGAGAGCCGCTAAGGCAGCTGAAAAGGAGCGCCAGAAAGCAGCTCGCGACGCTGAAAAAGCTATACAACTGTCCCAAAAGGGTAAGCGCAAGGCCTCACAAAGCTCTAGTCAAGAGCAGAAGCGTCAGAAACGTAGTGTTGTTGTTCCATCTCATGTAGAAGCTGAGGTGGCTGCACCAGCCGTCCCAACTCGAACGACCCGTCACGGCCGCACCACCAAGCTTCCGGGTAAATACAAGTAGCTCAAATTGATCGCAATGATATAATTACTACAAATCTATAAAATCTCGCGATAATAGCTATTGTGGGTGGCTCTACAGCCTCATTTTTGGGGTCTGCTCATGTTGGTGGGGTGGCTCAAAACTCGAACTGGCTCAAAACGCGCACGGACAGGGTATGTGGTCAGTGCGTGCAACAGTTCAGCCAATGCAACACCCCACCAAAATGCGTGCCTGCCAAAAAATGAAGCTTTTGACCACCACCACCAAAACGCTATTATCGCGAGGTTTTCCGGTGGAGTACTGGCATGATTGTATACTTGGTATATATCTACTGATATTTGCTGGGTAACCGCACGTTGCGGCCGCGCGCGGTGGTTTTAGTGGGAGGCTTGGCGGGCGGTGATGCATCACCACTACCACTTTCAGCCTCCACACAACACGACGCCGCTTTGATATTTTTTATTCTAAATTGATGAAGCTTTTCGCTTAGCTATATTCTACTTATCGCGAGCTTTTTGTGCGATTATAGTAGCGCAGTCTTGTGCCTTTTGAGCGCGCGCGACAGCTAGTTGTGCAGCCCTCGCATCACGCTCCTGCTGCCGCACTACTTTGGCCATTCCACGAGTCTCCCGTGCTGCTTGTGCCATCTGTTTTTTATACGCAGCTGCGGCAGCTCGCTCCCCCCTCTGTTGTTGTTTTTTTTTCTTTTTTTTCATGGTGTTGCAGTTGTTCTGCTGCCTCGCGGGCTTAGCCTCTCTTACTGATCGAGGGCTCCACACCACTGCAATACTATGATACTCTTCGTGCTGCTGCAGATCGACAAGCTTTCTATCAGATTTGCGGCGTTTTCTGGTAGTAATACTACCCCGCAGTTCCTTGTTTTCATGGTGTAAAGGCTCGTTCTGGATCTGCAATGGATGCAGCGCCTGTTTAAGCTGTTTGGCTGCATATTTCGATGTATTTGGCACAGCAGTGTCAAATAACTTTGACAGATCTCTCCAGCCATCTCCATCACCTGCCTCTCCAATTTCTATATCTATATCGGCTCGTCGTGGTGGTGTTTTGAAGCGTTTTATCATGACGTCGGGATCGCGCGGATAGATCCCAATGGCACGAAAACTACTCAACATATCATTAGCTGTGAAAGCAGATGTATATTCCGCCCACAATATGCGTAGGAAATCACTTTTCCGCATATCGAATAGTCCTTGACCGCTGTGGATTAGATGGGTGAGCTCGGTACTGTACGCAGCTACCAGATGTGAGTACACGCCAAGGTCGAGTGGCTGGAGGCTGTGAGTGGCGTGAGGCGGAAATACTGCGAGTAGTATTCGGTGGGTATGGCAGTACTCGATGAAGGAAGGCGTCAGGTGACTGCCGTGCCCGTCGACGAGAAGCGTCCGGTAGTCGCGTTTTGCTTTTTCCTTCGTGAGCCGATTGAACACCTGCTCAACTCAAGCCAGCGCGAGGTCATTGTTACACTATCCCGACGGGCTTGTACAGCAAAAAACGGGGTGTTTTCCCACCACTAGATCCTGCAGCTATCCATCGCAAAGACCCTCTACGCCCTCGTAGATTATCGTAGGATCTACTGAGCTCCCATCACCGCAGATACAGCCAATAATCATTATCCAGTCTCTACTGCCATCTTGGAGGAATTGCCGTACTTTCTTTTACTCCCAAAACTCCTTCGAAAAGATTCTTTTTGGTGGTGAAATACGGCCAAGTAAGAAGCCCTTCTCGTCCATATTGTAGATATTATGTGGCGCGACGTCATATTGATCAAGCTTGGCATAGAGGAGATCGAAATATGATTGGTATTTATTGCGATTGTTTGGCTGCGAACAGCCGCAGATGACTTTGGTGTTCTGGCCCCTATCCCTGACCCTATCCCTGTCGCTGTCTCTGCCCCTCTCGAGCTCTCCATAGACGACAGAACCGACCGAACCGACAGAACCGACCGCACAGTCCGCAACAATCAATTAAGTGGGTCCTAGAAGGTTCAGATTGGATTGATTGATTACCGCTTTAAGCCTAGTAGTTACCTATAGGAGTTTAAGCCCTACCTAGATAGGTAAGTGGGTCTAGGAGAGTGACCGGATTGAATTGATTGTTGCGGAGTCTAACCGACCGAACCGACAGAACCGACAGAACCGACAGAACCGACAGAACCGACAGGACCGACAGAACCGACAGGACCGACAGGACCGACAAAAAATTCTAATGTAGTAGTTACAGTACATAGAGAAGAGTATGAAGAAAGGCAAATACGAAAATCGCTAGGGAACAGCGTTAGCCGTAATTAGTTTGTGAATCCCCTTCTCAGATAAAATGCGCTATCTGGCGCGATGGTATTATACAGTTGTTAGCGATTGCGGCCTCACCCCTCCTTTCCCCCTGCACGTAAGCATTCTAAAGACTAGTCATTATTGGATCGGCAACTGACCAATCACATCGTCTATTTTCCTGCGAACATCTATACGGAAGTTAGGGCATTTAAACTTGTTACGTAGCTGCATGTAGGGGCGAAGCTGCAACCGCTAACAACTGTAAAACAAGTGGTTGAAAATTATTTATTATATGTGTCCGGCTTTTGATTCCTTGCTGTTTTGTTCTCTTTACTTAGCGTGCATCGGACACGTGGACTATTTGGCTTGATCTTTGTGGTTGATTGTGTGTTCTCTCCTTTTCTTTGTATGGCGGATGTGCTTGTGCTTAGAGCCGAGTACCAAAAGGACTAAGAACAAGAGATCCGAAGTATTACAGGGATTGGGAGTCGGGAGCCTCATATTATCCGAAGGCTATCTCAAGGAGGGCGTCTCCTAACCGTAGTATTATCTTGGTCCATAAAAAATCCATTGCTACTACTTTATTGCGGACGCATACTTTATATTTAGGATATGATCATCTCTGTTTTGCTATTGAGTAAGACATATAGAGCATTAAAAACATAAGCTTATACTATTGTCGGGACATGCGCGTACAGCCAGCCCGGCGAGTTTTTCCGGGCCGGAAGCTTGGACCACTGGTTAGACCAAGCTTCCCGCTTAGCTCGCAACCGTACATATGGAGATCTCTCCATCCAGCTCTTGCTCACTACTAATCAAATACTATACGCTTTGTTCGTTGCAACGACTGCTAGTATTCAACACCTTTGCCGTGTCAACAACTATCTATTATACCTACGGCTTTCATTCCTTGCAGGAGTTTTCGACCAACCAGCCCGTAAACTGGTACACGAAGTGCCATTATGGCACCCGCGTCTTCCAAAGAAAATCAGGAAGGTTCTGGCAAGGGACTGGATTACAGTTCGCTTCATGTTTCCACGCCTAATGAACCGGTCGCCATTATTGGTATGGCCATGCGCCTACCTGGCAATGTTAAAGGCGAATCCGACTTTTGGAACCTGCTTTCAGAAAAGAAAAGCGGACTCTGCGATATTCCTAGGAACCGATTCAATTTAGACGGGTTCTATGACTCGTCAGGTACGCGTGGAACAATTCCTTTCACCCAAGGCTACTTTCTCGACGGCGTTAATATCCAAAATTTCGATACGACAGTCTTTCCAACATCTAAGACAGAGTTAGATCGGCTCGATCCAGCCCAGAGGCAGCTCCTTCAAGTGGCTTACGAGTGTTTTGAAAGCGCCGGCATGTCTTCCTGGCGTGGTAGCAATACTGGGTGCTATATCGGCGAATTCGGCGAAGACTGGGCCGACGTCAACGCAAAAGAAACGCAGCACATAGGCGGTTATCGTGCCACTGGGTTCGAAGATTTTGCTCTAAGCAACAGAATTTCTTATGAGTTTGATTTACGCGGTCCTAGCATGACTGTAAAGACTGCTTGTTCTTCATCGCTTGTCTGTCTTGATCTAGCATGCGAAGCAATTCGCAATGGCAAGTGTGACGCTGCACTCGTAGGTGGCATTAATCTGATTTTTTCACCAACTATGTGGATTACGTTGAACGACATGGAATTGTTATCTCCGAGGGGTCAGTCCAGGCCATTTGATGCCACGGCCGACGGTTACGCTCGTGGCGAAGCTGTCAACATGGTTCTAGTCAGGAAGTTAAGTTCTGCTTTACGAGACAAGGATTCAATTCGTGCTTTGATTCGTGGAACTGGAGTCAACAGCGACGGTCGCACGTTGGGAATGGTTGTTCCAAATCCTCTTGCACAAGCAAATCTCATACGTCGCACCTACTCAGCCGCCGGAATACCAAACCTGAGTGAAACGGCAATAATCGAGTGTCATGCTACAGGTACACAAGTAGGAGATTCACTTGAAGCTAAGGCTATAGCGGACTGCTTTGGTGATAAAGGTATCATTATTACATCAGTAAGTTGGTACATGTTTCTGAAGTGGAAGCTGTTGTTAATAATTTGTAGGTTAAAGCAAATGTTGGACACGCAGAGGGTGCAGCGGGATTGACTAGTGTGATAAAGAGTGTTTTAGCTTTAGAGCACCGCATGGTTTTACCAAATATCAGTTTCGAGACACCGAATCCAAAGAGTAGGTCAAGCATACGCCATAAACTCAGGATTTTTTTTAACTTTCCAAACAGTTCCTTTCAAGGAGTGCAAGCTCCATGTCCCGATCGAAACGGAACCTTGGCCTAAGGGCCGCGCTGAAAGAATCAGTGTAAATTCATTTGGCATTGGAGGTGTTAATGCACATGTACGTCTGCTTTCAATTTATATCGTTGCGGTAGTAAACAGAGATCATGTAAAAGCAACATCACTAAACAGTAAATAGGTCATTATTGAATCGTATCGGCAATTCAACCTCGACTTGCAGATCGACGCTAAACGTGAGTCGCCTATGAATTCTTAAATCACCGCAAGTCTCCGCCGCTGGCTTTCTAACTAATTTCTGTCCAGTTCGGAGATCTTCAACTAATGAAACTTGGTTCACACATCCGAGTGAGCAGACATATGTGGCACTCCCAGACGCAGGCAACCTTAACGATAAGACATCTCCGGTCGGTAACCAGCATGAATTCATCAACAACAGCTACTTCAATAATGATGATTCTGAGAAAATTCGGTGCCAGCAGACCTCTGGGTCTAATTTGCTACTATTCTCTGCTTATAATGCAGAATCACTCCAAGAGCAAGTCCATAGCCACATACAATTCGCCCAGGACCAGAGACAATTAGAACTCCATGACCTCGCATACACTTTGGCTAACAAGCGAGAACATCGTCCTCATCGCTCTTTCGTTGTTACAAGTGGACACATGTGCACGCCACAACTTTCAGATTCGCTCACTACCAGTGTTCCATCGGTTTTGGATGGCTGGAATGAGATCAAAGCTATTTTAGTATTCACCGGACAGGGTGCGCAATGGCCTACAATGGGGGCACACCTTTGGGATACAAACATCATTTTTAGGGAGACAATCCAGAAACTGGACCGATTTTTGCAGACTATGGAGACACCGCCACTATGGAAGATCGAGCACGAGTTGCATAAAGGCGAGAATGATAGCCGAGTGTACAGTGCTGAGCTTGGCCATCCTCTTTGTGTGGCTATACAGATAGCTCTCGTGGACGTTATTCGTTCTTGGGGAGTTATTCCCCATGGTGTGATTGGACATTCATCGGGTGAGGCAGCTGCCGCCTATGCCAGTGGAGCTATCACAGCGGAGGCTGCAATAGCAGTCGCAGCATCCCGCGGATTTAGTAATGTCCCAGTAAAAGAAGAGGGCTCCATGGCAGCAGTCGGACTTGGTAGAGATGATGTGTTGCCTTTTCTGTTACCTGGGGTGGACATTGCTTGCGAGAACAGTCAACTGAGCACAACTTTATCCGGAGATACAGAAGCTGTCAAGGAGGTCCTCAGAAATATCCAGGCCGAACGACCTGGAGTATTGGCTCGCCTCTTACGGGTGGAGAGAGCGTATCATTCTCACCATATGCTCCGGCACGGGGAAACTTATGAGAAACAAATCACGCCTTACGTCCAAAGCTGTAGCCCTACGATACCCTTTTATTCTTCGGTCACTGGAAAGCTTCTGACTGGAGACAGTTGTCTTGATGCGCAATACTGGCGTGCTAATATGGAGCGTCCTGTTCTATTCAACTCTGCTCTACGTTCTTCATTCGAAGAGATCTTACCAAGCGATACTGACAAGGCTGTTTTGATTGAGATTGGCCCTCATCCCGCGCTTGCTGGACCGATTGGCCAGATCCTCAGGGATACTGGCCGTAATAACCATATCTTGCACATCGGCTCTCTTCGCAGAGGCAACCCTTGTGATGAGAGCCTGATGTATCTCGCTGGCAAGCTCTATCAACAAGGCCTCCCTCTGAATTACGAGGTTCTCTGTCCACCGGGGAAATTTGTCAAAAATCTTCCTCGTTACCCCTGGAAGCAAGATATAACCCACTGGCTCGAGCCACGGATTTCTCGAGAATGGAGATTTCGCGAACATCCCCCACACGAGCTTCTTGGAAGCAGAGTCTTCGAGTCAGCAGCCAATGAGCCTGTATGGAGAAAGGTATTCACTCTTAATGAAGTCCCTTGGCTAGCTGGACACGAAGTGAATGGCGATATCATTTTCCCTGCCGCTGGTTATATTGCCATGGTCGGCGAAGCTATTCAGCAATTGTCTGAAACTGAAGATGGAAGTTCTGATGGCACGTTCAGCATGAGGAATGTACGTATCGCCTCAGCGCTAGTTCTAAAGATGGATAAGATCACAGAAATCATAACAAGCTTCAAGAGAATCATGGTTGATTCGTCTGAAACCACTCCTTGGTTTCAATTCACTATCAGTTCTTTCGACGGAACGAGATGGGCCAGGAATTGTTTTGGCGAAGCAAGAGCGTCTCAAGACAGCTCTTTCGCATTTCCTCGACATATGGTAGCCCAGACTGGCTCATTTCCACGCAAGGTAGACGAAAAGACGTGGTATACCGGACTAAGGCATGTTGGGTTTAACTACACGGGTGACTTTGAGGGCATGCAGAATATCTCGGCCGCAACCACCATGAATGAAGCCAAAGCCACTGTTGAGATTGTACATACACATGGAAAACCAAAGTGCTCTAGGTATGTGCTTCATCCAGCCGTCATCGACCAATTCCTCCAACTTATTGCTGTGGCATCCTCTCGTGGGCTGTGTCGAGACTTGAAAAGTATATCGGTCCCAACCTTCATAGAAGAGTTACTCCTGCATCCTTGTCCGGCTGATCATACTCTGGAAATAATGGCCAACGTCACTAAGAAATCGGAGCGGGGCTCGATAGCCGGAAATGTTGTAGTGAAGAGTGCGGGATACCTCGGAGAGCCAGTCACTACAAGAATCGGCCTAAAAGGCCTCGAAATGAGCGCAATGACAAGAAGCAACGATGATGCACGAGTAAATACAATCCCGTTAATTTCGCAATTCGAGTGGATGCCACATAGCGATTTCGTGGACCTGAGAAAACACTTCCATCGAAAAGCACCGCGTATCAATGAGTGGCCATTGCTCGAGGAACTTGTTCTTCTTTGCATGTTCAACCATTGCGAAGGAATCCAGACGAATGACGATACTGCCGAACATCTTGCCAAGCTCATGAAATGGATGCAAGCGCAGGTCCAACGCTATATACAGGGGGCGAACAAGTTCGTAAATCAAGACATCTTGCTAGAAAAGAGGAGTGTAGAGGAAAGAGTTAAACGCGTAGATGAGATTATGCGTGCACTCTCCTCATCACCTTATGCTGCTTTCTCCAAGGCAGCATTTCAACTCTTTTCCGTCGCGCCTGCGATTTTCAGAAATGAAATGCACCCTCTTCATGTTATGATGGAGAACAATGTTCTCACCGACTTCTATGATGCACTCTCAGTTGACTCGGCTGACATGATCAGTATTCTGGCCAACACTAACCCAAACATGCGAATTCTCGAAGTGGGTGCTGGCACAGGAGGGACAACAGCCAATATTCTGCGGGCTTTGACGTCATCCTATGGCGAGCGTCTGTATAGTGTCTACACTTACACAGATGTATCATCCGGGTTCATGGCAGCTGCTAAAGAGAGGTTCTCAAGCCATGCTGCAATAGAATACGCCGTACTGGATGTCACCAAAGATCCAGCTGAGCAAGGCTTTCAGTTGGGTAGCTTCGATTTGATCATTGCCGCAAATGTTAGTTTCATTTCCTCTATTCCACCCATCACTCCTCTAGGTCGTGTATACTAATCGGCAACCATTTATACTTAGGTTTTACATGCTACTCCAAGCCTGAGAACAACTCTGTGTAACATGCGTAGTTTGTTAAGCCCAAGAGGGCGACTCTTCTTAGAAGAGCTCAACCCAGGTATGTGAAACGCTTTGTGCACTCACTAGTTCTTTCCTAGCAATTTATAGTGGGATTGTGCGGAAAGATGGAAATTTACTAACTAGTTCCAGAAATGATGTGTGTCAACTATGTCATGGTGAGTGCACAATTCTGTTTCGATTTCCCATCAAGGTATTAACAGATTTCTTTAGGGCTTCCTTTCCGGATGGTGGCTTGGAGCACTAGATGATCGCGTGGATCAGCCATTCATTTCACCAGAGAGATGGACGAAAGAACTTCTCGATGCCGGCTTCCCAAAACCCGAAGCAATCATCCTCGATGACGACGCGCCTTATCAACTCAACGCTGGGATCGTAGTAGCCCGTGAGAGCTCAGAACACACACTGTCACGGGTCAGTCTACTGTGCTATGATTCTGACGGTCGGTACGTTTCTGAGGTACGCCACTGTTTGGAAGCCTCAAACGTAACTGTTGATGTCTGTCATTTTGGACAACCATTACCACCACAAAACGATGTTATTTCGTTGCTGGAGCTTCAAAAACCCCTTCTACACGGAATCCGTGAGGAGACATTCGAAATTATCAAGAATTGTTTTTGCTCGCACAAAGCGCTTATTCTATGGATAATGCCCGCTGTACAAGTCGGTAAAGTAAAAGATCCACAGTCTGCTTTGACGCTCGGTCTTGCCAGAACTGCACGAAACGAATTAAGCCTCCCTTTTCTAACTGTTGAAGTCGATGAGACCTCCACAGGAGTAGGGGCTGCTGCGACTAAGATAACCAAGATTTTTCGTAAAACCAGATTCGAACATTTCAATCCGTCCGGATCTATAGATCCGGACTATGAGTACGCCATTGTTCATGAAGAGATACTCATCCCACGCCTACATTGGCAAACATTATCAGAGGTGGTTGAAGGGATTCGGATAGAAGATATGCGCGCGATAGAGGGAGAAAAACCTCAGTGGCGTATCGCTATGAGGACGCCAGGCCTTTTACACACCTTGACATGGATCCCGTGTGAACAAAGCGCTTTCCCTATCGAGAATGAAGTTCTTGTTGAGTCTAAGGTTATTGGCCTTAATTTTCGAGTGAGTGTTTTCGATTCCTGACTTCTGGCTGGCGGCACCCACATTACTTTTACAAGCAAACGGAACCCATATTATTAGAAAACATCAAGTTTAGGAATTAACACTCAACTAGGATATTCTCATCGCTTTAGGCATCATGGAGAATGACCTCAGCGAGATGGGGTTTGAAGGAAGCGGTATTGTCCGGGCAGTAGGACCTGGAGTATCTCGCTTCTCGGTTGGGGACCGCGTTTCATATCTAGGAATGGGGTGCTTTAAAACGACGCAGATAATGAACGAAGCTCTGTGCGTCAGATTGGACGATTCAATGACTTTTAAAGAGGGCGCAGCTTTGCCACTTGTTTACGCAACAGCTTACTATGCGCTTGTTGAAAAAGCTAACTTGCAACATGGGCAGGTGAGTACAACAACTGGCTTCCATTATATCTTTATATCGCTACTTGTACTGAAACTTGTTTGCCATAGTCCGTACTTATCCACTCCGCCTGCGGTGGATTTGGTCTATCAGCAATACAGATAGCGCAGGCGCTTGGTGCTGAGGTGAGTCACAAGCATAGACCAAGCCCATTGTCCAATATGTTGACAGGTTTGCAGATATACTGCACTGTAGGAAGTCACGAAAAACGCAATTTCTTGACAGAGAACTATGGCATTGAACCGTCGCGCATCTTCAGCTCAAGGGATACATCATTCCTACCTGACGTGTTGAATGTTACTTATGGAAGAGGTGTAGACGTTGTTCTTAACTCACTTTCAGGGGAACTACTACAGGCATCATGGCAGTGTGTTGCCGAGTTTGGGACAATGGTGGAAATTGGGAAGCGTGACTTTCGACGGCGCGCCACACTGGCGATGGCACCTTTCGAAGCGAATCGGACCTTCCTAGGAATCGAACTAGGACCTATTATCAAAGGATATCCTCGGAAAGCGTCAGCTCTCTTCGAGCGCTGTATTGAGTGGATACGCGCAGGGCGCATACCTGGACCGACTATATCGAGATCCTTTAAAGCGGTTCAGATTGAAGAAGCTCTGAGGGTGATGCAGGTAGGGAGTCACATTGGAAAGATTGTGATTGAGATGCCCGATGATTCCAGAGAGTTTGAAGGACAGCACAGTCGACAGAAGGCATCCTTGTCAACGATCCACTTCCGGTCAGATCGTACATACCTTTTGGTAGGTGGGCTTGGAGGCTTAGGGCGAGCATTAGCAGTTTGGATGGCAGAGAATGGAGCACGCTCTCTTGTGTTCCTATCAAGGTCTGCGAGAGAAGGACCTGAAGTTGATGGGGTGGTGCAAGACTTACGCTCACAAGGTTGTCGAGTATTATTGGTTGATGGTAGCGTCAGCAATATGGCAGACGTGCAAAGAGCTGTGAAAAATGAGAGTACTGCGGTGAGTCCTCTTGCAGGCGTCATTAACCTATCCATGGTCCTGAAAGATGTCGGTCTTCCTGATATGACATTTGGAGATTGGATCGCACCAATTGAGCCGAAGGTCCAAGGTACGTGGAACTTGCATCAGGCCACCGTACACAACAAGGAACTGGATTTTTTTATTCTCCTTTCCTCCTGTAGCGGTGTTATCGGGCAATGGGGTCAGGCCAATTACGCAGCGGCAAACACGTTCCTTGACGCTTTCGTACATTTCCGCCGGCAGCAGGGACTCGTTGCGTCCGTCATCGATCTTGGTGTTATGGGCGACGTTGGCTTCGTTTCGCAAAACCAGGGCATTCGCGAGAATCTGGACCGTATTGGCATGTACATCCTTAGGGAGCAGGACCTACTCAATGCTTTAATTCTGGCTCTGAAAAGATCCTCACTCGCTCCATCTGCCACTGCTGGACAGATTTGCGGCCAAAATAGCGATATGACGTACCGGAATCCAAGTCAGGTCCTCTTGGGCTTGAATAGCACAAGTCCAATCTCTTCACCACTCAACCGCGTGCCTTGGAGACGAGATGCACGTATGAGCATATACCATAACACCGCGATCTCAGACAATAGTGGTGGATATCAATACGGTCGAGCCAAGGCACAATCTTCTCAAAGTGACGATTTGCGCGCGAAGCTGGCATCGATGGCGAACAATGAGGACAAAATAGCCGCTATAGCTCGTTCGTTAGCAGCAGCATTGGCAGCTTTCCTCATCAAGGATGATGACAGTATCGCACTGAACAGACCATTGGAGCAGCTTGGTTTGGACTCACTAATCGCTTTGGAAATTCGTAACTGGATTCGCCAGAAACTCAAAGTAGAAATAAGCACTACTTCGATCATGCAAAGCTCATCGCTTTGTCGCCTAGCAGAAGATATTATCGGGCTACTAACTGGAGCTAGCTGTAGTACCGATGCAGCTTGTTAGCTAGTGTGCGCGTGCGCGGTGTGCACGGATTCGCGGCGCGCACACCGAACAACATGTTAACAATTTTGGAAATAATACTCTACATCGACGTACAAAGATGTCGCAGCCTATGCAAGACTGCAGAAGCAATGAATTTAGCTGAGCCAAAGCAACAAGCCACTGTAACAGCAACAAGGATGCACTGCCTCAACAAGAAAAAGCAATAGCTATACACCAGAGATAAATGAAGATAGTAGATAGCAGTCACAATACACATCAGATTCAACGCACCTTCGCGTGCAACATAGAGCTATCGCTGCTGGCTCTGAGCCAAACGTTCTCCCTCTTAAGATCTTCCCACAGCACGTTCAGGATGCTCCGAAGCCTGGTAGACCTGCTAAGCAGGCAGAGGAGGTGAAGGAGCAGATGTTTCAACAAGTACGACGCGATAGATATGGACGAGAGAAGAGCTGTGCTCTAATGCCCACTTAAGACGAGCACTCCTCATCTCCTGTGTCAACCCAGGCTTCCTCGTTGGCTTGGTATTTCTGTATCCTGCTGCTCTCAATACCCTCCAGACGGTAGAGGCAGAGATTTCGACTCCTTGGAGACTGAGCCCACCAGCAAGGTCAGCATAAGGACTGGACGTTGGAGGACTGGAAGAATGTCATCTGGACAGATGAGACGTCCGTGGTAATCAACCACCGACGTGGGGGCTACAGAGTCTGGAGAAGGGCAGATGAGAGAGTAGTCAAGAGCTGCATCCGTGAGAGGTGGAAGGGATACTCTGAGTTTATGTTCTGGGGCTGCTTCTCGTACGACAAGAAAGGTCCATGCCATGTCTATCAGCCAGAGACAAAGGCAGAGAAAGAGGATGCTGCTCGTCGGATTGAGCAGCTAAACGCTGAGCTTGAGCCTCTACAGAGAGAGGAGTGGGAGCTGTTAGAGTCTATGAGGAGAATAGGGCTACGTAATAAGCGTGGCAGGAAGCCTCAATGGAGATGGACAGAGAAGACAGGCAAGCTGATGCGCACGTCTGGAGGTGGCATAGACTGGTGGAGACGTCAGACCTGCGTTCTCATCCCAAAGCTGATTCCTTTCGCCAAAGAATGCCTCTAAGATAGACCTCAGACTGTTGTAATGGAGGATAAGGCACCTTGTCAGATAGCAGGGTTACTCGACGTTGGCAGCAACCAATCAGCGTAGAGAGGGTCAGTGCGCCCCTCAAGAGGGCCACAAGCGCGGACACACGATAGACAGAACACAATACAGACAATCATCAACATCCATCACTTTTGTGCAATATCTCATTATATCTGACACACCTAGCCACGCCCACCACTATCAGAGTGTGATCTATCGCCTGCACGACGTTGAGAGACCAGAGAAGTCAACAAACAAAACAACCAACATTTGAGGCGTAGATGTTGATTGACTGGCTCATTTCTTAGGGCTACAGTTTGTTTGTTTGAGTTGATGAGACTGAAGAGCCAATTTTTGGTTGGTTGATTGATTGAATATTGATAGACTTAAGGTTCTGAAGGGACGTTTCTATGACAATTCTGCAGGCGGCTCTTCCCACGTTCCTATCGCAAACTCTTCCGTGAGCTCCTCATCAGTATGCTTTGCTGCTGTTGTCGTGCTTGGTGTTGTAAAACCTGCACGAGTCCACCGTTGCAAGCACACCAAAGCAGCCAGTAACTGCGCGCCAATTTTCCGCCTTTGTGGCTCAATTATATCGCCAGTTCCCGCAAAAACGCGCTCACAATCAGAGCTGGAGGCGGGTATAGTCAACACGTCGATCGCCAATCGTGAAAGATGTGGATACTTCGGCTTCAACGATAACCAGTACTGTACAGCTGTTGGACCCTCCTTGTGTTGATCAGACGTCCACATAGGCTCTTTTAACCAGCTATCGTACTCATCCTCCACCTCCAATGTATGCTCGCCGTCCTCATCTAGTATAGCGTCGATAGCGTCGTCAAAGCTGCTCATGGTAGGTTTTGGCGCAGGGGTTGGTGTTGTGGCAGCAGCGGCAGGCTTGTAGGCAGCCCAAACCCGCAGAAACTTCGCGTGCGCGGTGCTCGATTGTGTAGGTTTGTCGCGCCAGAAGCGCTTAGAGTATGTTTTATATCGTGGATGTAGTGCCGTAGCTGCGTAGTAAATGGGACTTTGGAGGATCTTAGTAAAGTAATTGCTCGCTTTTCGCCTCGCGGCTCGCAGGTTGATCGGGATGTGATCTTCGGGCGCCTCAGATGGCTCGTGGTTGACCGATTCGTATGGCCGAAGGCGTGCATCCAGCTCAGTTATCACACTCTCAAATACTGGGATGACCTCGTAGAGTGCGCCAAAACGGCCACACTTGCCGCGGCCTTGGAGGCGATCTGTAGCAAACTTGAGCGGCTGCAGTATCGCCATGTACTCAGTAATCACCGCCCAGTCAGCCGCCGTAAGGCCGTCTGACCTCATCCACCGCGGCACATCAGGCAGCTTGTTTCCTCTAATAGCTGCCTGTTCGTCAGCCTGTTCAGTCTCGCGAATGTGGTACGTGGCGTATGCGTTGATAGCTTGTTGGAGCTGAACTCCGCGCTTAAAGCAGTCGTAATAGCTGTTCCAACGTGTAACACACGGCTTAATTGGCTCGCGAGTGCCGCCGCTGGCGCCTGTGGGCATGCTGTTAACTGCCTCGCGTTGGCAATCTTCAAAAATACTCCACTGCTTCGGCGTGTTGATGTAGTTGATAATATCAAGATACACGCCAAGCGGTCCTTCTTTCCGCCACTCCTTCATGTAAAAATCCTCCATCTTTGTGTTCTCCAGGGCGTTGTTATACGCGTCAGCATCCCTCCCGAACATAATCGTTTGGCCAACAAGGTTAAGTATGTGGCAAGCGCAGCGGAGGCGGCGATCGGAGGCAGAAAAGTGGTACATCGCGGCGAGTTTGTTAACAGCGGTGTCGTTATTGTAAGCGTTATCGAGCACAAAGTAGCCGAGTTTGCTGCGATTAATGCTGAAGGATTGCAGGATTTTGGTTACAGCGTCAGCTATCGCCTCACCAGTGTGGGCACCCACCAGCTGCGGCAGCGCGATGGGTAGGTCAACTATCGCGCCCTTACTGTTGGCGTAGTGAGCAACTACAGAAAAGAAGCCACGTTTGCCGCCTTTTGTCGTCCACCCATCGAAGCTTATATGTACCTTGCTCTCGGCTTCAGCCAACGCGCGCACCACCTGAGGCCGTAGCCAACTGTACAACCTCATCACGAACGCTGACACGCTGTTATGAGACCTCCATAACGCCGCCTCTGCCTCAGGATTAGCAAGCCTGATCATCTTGCGAAAAGCCGGCGTCTCAAACTCGCGGAGTGGTCTGTTGTTGTCGACCAGCCAGAGCGCAGCTGCCTGCCGAAATTCTTGTACGTCGAAGTTTCCTATAGTCTTGTACGCCTCTAGACTAAATTTGACACCGCTTAGAGCTGCCTGACGAAGTGATTGTTGTCCATGTTTGCGGAGAGGTTTGCTTAGGATTGGACCATCTTTGCTGAGCCGATGACCAGGTTTATCAAGCTGGAGGTGCCCGTTGGCGGCAGTGGTTGACTTCGTTACTCGGTGTACACCATTAGGTAGCTTATGAATATGACAGTACTTGCACACAAAGTACAACTCATCTGGGTGGTGAGTACCCTCCTTCCAGACACGCCAGCCGTGTTGAAAAATCCAGCTTGCCTTGCCTCGTGGAGTGCTCAGCGGCGCGACAAACCCCTTTAATCGCGACCAATCGACGCCCTCAAAGTCGCGAAAATCGACGCTCACAGCGCTATCCTCCTCCACCGAAGCCTCAGTGGCAGCGCTAGAGAAAGCTAAAGGCTGTACAATAGAGTCCTCTGGCTTATCAAACATTAACTGCGACTCCCAGGCTGGCTCATCAGTGAGCCGAGAGGCTTGTGAGGCAGCCAAAATAGGCAGTGGTGATGCCCGCCGAGGGCGCTCCTCGGGTTGTTGTACAGGCTTACATGGCGGTTCAATAGCCCGTGTGGGCGGCTCGATAACTTGTGTAGGCGGCTCTGTAGGCGGATCCGGCGTACTTTCTGGCAGCTCTATCGGCTGGGTTGGCTGGCTGCCGTCACCCAACAGCGCTTTGAGCGTAGGTTTGCGCGTACGTTGTGCTCGCTTGAAGGGAGTATCAGCTTCTTCGGCAGCCTCGGGCTTGCGTTTTGCTGGTATAGAGGGCATGGATAAGGCTAAAAGTAAGCCGGAGCCGCGAGAAAGTAAGGTGTTGTTAAATGTTATAAGCCTGATGTCAGCAGACTTTCCAAAAAGCAAGTTGACTTGGATTACTTGCTTGACTTGCTTGGTTTAAACCAAGCAAGCAAGTCAAGTAAGAGCTGGGCAGCTAAGCAAGCAAGTCAAGTCAAGATACTTTGCTTGCTTGGCTTACTTGGTTTACTTGGTTGTTTTAGCGTTACTGTGATGAGGGTGCTAAAACTGCTGTACGGTAGATGTCGCGATGGTTTTGAAGTGTTGCAGTTGCCTCGGTTGAGTCCCAAACAGGCTAAGCGGCTATCAAATAACGTTAGCCTTAGTCTAGCGCATTGCTCCAATCTCGACGTACGCCTGTCTAGAAGCCTATCGCAATGCAGTATCCCCTATAGCAACGCGTTTTCCAGTGATTTATACTGCCCTGATACCCCCAATATGGCCAAACGTCGCCTACCACAAACTTCTGCTCGGAGCAAACGTACGAAAGTAGCCGCTGCCACCAACAACGTCGCCTCAACTCCTGAGGCTTCACCTGAGCCTGCATCTAAGCCTGCATCTAAGCCTAGACCTCAGCGTCGATCACCTCGCAAAACCCTAGCTGCCGCAAGCCAGGCTAACGCCTCGCCGCCAATACCTACCTTCGAGTTGCAGTTCTTAGAGTCGCAGGCGGAGGCTGAGATTGTCGCGCCCACCGAGGGCAGCCGAGCTGGCACGGTGGCTACAACTGAGGCTGGAGAGGGTGGTCAGGATGAGACAAACAGCGCACTAGTTGAGAACTTTGACGGCATTGACTGGGCACGTTTACCTGATTTTATCAAGCCATTGGCGCGTTCTAAGCGCCCAAAAAGTTGGATCTTTCAGTATGGCTACCGCGTTGTTGAGCGCCATGCTACATCTCGAATCTGGTTTGTGTGCAAGTACTGCCATGTACACAAAACTATCGACGCTGGCCGTGGTGGTTTGTTTAACATTACTCAGGCTACAACCTCAGCAGCCACCCATCTCAGCCAACCAAAGCCTGGCCACAACCTTACGAAAGATGGCCCAAAGTTAGCGCAGAGAGCTCGAGGCCAGCTGTCGTTGCGGCAAGCTTTTGACGCTGGTTTAGACGTACAACAAAACACTGCTAACGCGTTTGGAAACTTCGACGTAGAGGGCTTTCGAACAGCCACTGTCATGTGGCTTGTTAACCGAAACCACCCGCTCAGCGAACTTACGACGCCTGATTTTAGAGAGATGATGAGATTTGCCAACCCAGAGGCAGAGGCAGCGTTGTGGGTAAGTAATACCAGCGTTTCTACCTTTGTGATGAGGTTGTTCCGGTCTATACGACCGCAAGTTATCGACACCCTGTCAGGCTCAGTAAGCAAAATACACGTAAGCTTTGATGGCTGGACAACAAAGGGTGGTAAACGTGGCTTCTTTGGAGTAGTCGCTCACTTTGCCGACGCAGCTGGAATAATACGAGACTTACCAATCGATCTGCCTGAGCTCGCTGGCGCCCACACCGGTGAGGCTATTGCCAAAGCTATCTCGACGACGCTCTCAGCATACGGAATAACAAGCGACCGATTAGGCTATTTTGTACTCGACAACGCTACCAACAACGACACTGCGATCGCCGCGCTCGCGCGCGAGTACGAATTTGAGTCCGCTCACCGGCGCCTCCGCTGCAGTTGTCACACGCTTAACCTCATCGGCCAGGCTATTATATTTGGCACCAACAAAGACGCCTACGGCAACACTCAAGAGCAGTACAATACCGAGGAGCAGTATATGCGAGAGTGGCGGAAAGATGGCCCTATTGGAGTGCTAGTTGACGTCATCAACTATATCAAAACGCCGCAACAGTACGAGCTTTTTCGTGGCTACCAGCGCCTTGCCAACAACAACCTGCCTGCTGAAGGGCGTCTCAAAGTACTCGAGCCAGTCAAGCCTGTCGTCACTCGCTGGAACTCATACTATGCTGCTTTTGAGCGCGCTACCAAGCTTCAAGCCGCGTATAACTTGTACGCTGAGCATCATATCAATAGGGTTATCCTTGAAGATGCGCACGCTGCGCAGCGGAATAATAAGCGGCCCGACGCCCCAAACTGGATGAGATCAACTGGGCTCCGAGCTGCTGACTGGGCGGTGATTGCAGAGTACCAGGACTGCTTAGAGCCGCTCAAGTACGCCACAAAACGCCTCGAGGGACGCTCTAAGGATGGCAAATACGGCGCAATCTATGAGGTTATACCCGTTTTTGAGTACGTACTCAGCAAGCTTGAGGCCCGGGCGCGCCCGTTCGAGCACGTCGACTTCAACGCTCATGCCGAGGCTCCAGAGGATCACCTCAACGTCAACCTCCGCGCCGCGTGGAGCAAAGCCAACGACTACTACAACAAGCTCGACGACTCGCCCGCTTACTACGCCGCTGTTTGCCTACACCCGTACTACAAGAACTACTGCGATGTGGCGTGGGCAGACAAAGCTGATTGGCTTACTAGTGCCAACGCGTCGTTCCAACAGCTTTGGGCGGCATACAAACCTCAACGAGCACGCCAGCGGTATACAACTGCGCCGAGTAGCAACAACATAGACGAGGCAATTATTGCTATACTTAGCCGCAACAATGACCGAGAGGCTCCACTTGACGAGTTTGAGCGCTGGAAAACACAAGAGCCGCAGTGGACGCAGGAGCAGTACAACGCAGATGGAAATCCTGTCCAATACTGGATACAACTACTGCCGAAATACCCGCATTTAGCGCAGTTTGCAATCGATATCATGACTATCCCAGCATCAAGCAGCGACTGTGAGCGCCTCTTCAGTGAGCTTGGCGACCTTCTTGAACCTAAACGACGTGCTCTGGGCAGTGAGCTACTCGCAGCTCTTCAATTAGTAAGGTCATGGGTGCGAGCTGGTTATAAACCGTACAACTGTAGCGAGGCTAAGCTTTCAGATGAGCAGCTTGTAGGAGATTACAACATACTAGAGTGGAACACTGAGTTTTGGTAATTTGTATGTAGCTTAATCTCTTTGTAGTAGTCAAGTAATCCAAGTACTTGCAAGTAATACAAGCAAGTCAAGCAAGTAAAAAAATCACCCCAAGCAAGTCAAGTAAAGCCTATGTTTGAACCAAGCAAGTCAAGTTTAGAGCGGTGACTTGCTTTACTTGCTTGTTGGAAAGTCTGGATGTCAGTAGCACTAGGAATAGAACATGTGTGAATCGTGTTGTGTATTGTGCTACAGGAATTGAGATCTATGTCTCTGCCAGCTAGCGTTGTGGGCGCTAAGCCTCGTACGTACTAGCCTGGAGTGAGTGAGAGATGGGATGGAACCTAGGTCATATAACTTACACGCGAGTAGGCTTAGTAAGCAAGATCCAACACTAAGAATTCGTCGTTGAGCAGCTATCCCAGAGGCCTCACCTAGGTATCCCCCTCCCTCGCTTACTATCAAACAACACCAATCCTATCAACATTTTGTTCTCAAGATTGGTTGATTGATTGACAGAAATACAGTGGCTAACTGTTGGTTAGTTGGTTGGCTCCGAATCAAACAAATCAAACAACAATATTGATGAGATATTGATTACTGACAACCTTGTGAGAGACTACTCTGGTGTGATAACTCGCCAGACTGTAACTGTATTGAGCCATGCTGGTTCTGTATAAAAAAAGGAGACAACGCTAAAGGGAGCTCCTAAATCAAGAGCAGACGCAGTTAAGATTTGGCAGAAATGCTGGAAAGATCGCTCTCAGCAAAGAATCCAAGCTTGGATCGAGCGAGTTCTTGTGCATATTAAAAAAGACTAACCTACAAGGTGGTGATAAATATATGGAGGGGAGGGATAAGCCTTCGGTGAGGCGGCTAGACTTCGGCTAGATTGTTCTTAGCAGGACAGAACTTTCAAAGAGCACCTCTGTACACCTAGTCTGAAAAACTTGGAGTTAGTATCTGTGTGGCCGAGTGGATAATTTGTCGTTGCGCCGTTCGGTACGGCATGTAGTAAGTAGTGGAGGTTCCACAGTATCTGTCGGCATACACACGGTGTGTCGCCTAATAAGGCCCAATGTACCGCCTCGATCCTACTTCGGCCCAACTCGGACCCAACGTTATGTATACCTTCGTAGCCCCCACATTCGTAGAATCATCATACACCAGAATACCAATACACAAGATTACCTTAGCTACTGTTATTCACCGTACGATCGTACAAGGCCTTCCAACAGTATCCAATATTTTTGTGGATTGTGATACCTCACCAATCGCATCATTTCTCGAATCAAGGACTAACGAAGTTCGCCCCACAGACTTCGGTTGAAACGTTTTCCGATTCTAACACTAGGACTTTGTACCTAACTCTTTCAGGACTAGAGGTTTCGGAGATACCGGACGGTCCGAAATATCTGTGAATCGATTCTTTTGAGAGTAGGTCACGGGAAACGAAACGAATCATTCCAAAAAGAGAACCCAATAGCACACCCGAATATCGTTCTTGTCCCCTCGTATTTCGACAACAATTAAACAATGAACGGCACGGGCAACTACTTGGCCAGTGACATGAATCCAAGCAAATCTTTGTACAATGGCAGGCCCACGGTTCCGATATCCCATTTCAAACGTGTTCTCTATCAAGCAATAATTGACGACACAATTACCAACGCTGAATACGACGGGAATGGCACTTTGGAAGACCCTTACGTCATAACATGGCTGCCAAATGACCCTTTCGATCCCATGAATATCTCAAACGGTATCAAGTGGTGGATAACCGCCATTGTAGCAATGATGACTCTTGCTGTGTCATTTGCATCGTCAGCATATTCCGGCGGCATCGGTGAAATACGGAAAGAATTTGATGTCAGCCAGATTGTTGCCACTTTGGGAATTGCATTGTTCGTTTTGGGTTTTGCTATTGGGCCCCTGGTGTGGGCACCTATGAGTGGTCAGCCTGTTCGCAACATCTACTGCCGCGCTATCAGCTAATTGAATATAGAGATTTACGGACGCCGGTACATCACTGTTAGTTCTGGTTTGCTTCTTGCTGTATTCAGTGCAGCTTCAGCAGCTTCTCAGAACGTGACTACTTTAGTTGTAACAAGATTCCTTGCTGGTGCTCTAGGCTCATCACCACTGACTAATGGTGGCGGTGTCCTTGCGGATATATTTCCGTCTTCCCAACGCGGACTGGCAACCACTTTGTTTGCGACAGCCCCGTTCCTTGGCCCAACAATTGGCCCTATTGGTGAGTTCTGCTCATTACGATTAGGTCTAGTGAAGCTGACCCTATAAGTGGGCGGATTTGTTGGCCAAGCAGCCGGCTGGCGTTGGATAGAAGGCATGATCGCTGTCTTCACAGGAGTGATAGCGATCCTATATGCCTTAGTTGTGCCCGAAACGTATTCACCTGTGCTCTTAGCCAAACGAGCCGCGAAACTTTCTGAAGTTACCTCGAAAACTTTTAAAAGTAAGATCGAGCTTGAGAGAGGCAAGAAAACGGCATCCGAAGCATTTGTCACAGCGTTGGTCAGGCCTTGGATATTGTTGTTTTGTGAACCAATCGTCTTCCTGTTGGCTGCATACACAGCAATAATATATGGAGCCCTCTACATGTTCTTTCCAGCTTTCCCTATTGTTTACCAGGTCGGTCGGGGTTGGTCTTCAGGTATGGGAGGTCTCGCATTCATCGGAGTTGCAGCAGGCATGTCCTGTGCAATCGTCTATCTGTTTTGGGAAAACAAACGCTATGCTCGTAACACAGCAAATTCACCAACCGGACATCTTGATCCAGAAGCAAGGTTACCACCCGCGCTCCTTGGGAGTATCATCATACCTGTCGGGCTCTATTGGTTTGCCTGGACCAATGGATCAAACGTACACTGGATTGTCAGCATCATTGGCAGCGCCCCGTTTGGCTTCGGCATGGTATTGGTCTTCATATCGTGCGTCAATTATCTCGTCGACTCGTACGTTATATATGCAGCATCAGTACTGGCTGCCAGCTCGGTCGTTCGCTCACTCTTTGGCGTGGCATTCCCGTTATTCACGCCTTACATGTACCGACATCTGGGTATACATTGGGCCTCATCTATCCCAGCGTTTCTAACTCTTACATGCGTGCCTTTCCCATTCTTATTTTACAAGTTTGGAGCAAAGATCAGGATGCGTTGCAAATATTCTCGTGAAGCTGCCACGGTGCTGAACAAAATGCGCAACTGAAATCGGGATTCTAAGGATCCAGGCGGTAGAATATGTGGAGCGACAAAGATGTTTTGCTAGATATTCATTCTATTATACATAGGGGCGACATGAAAAGAATGTGTTACTAAATGTTGCACGCGAAGGTGCGTTGAATCTGAGGTATATTGTGACTGCTATCTATCATCTTCATTTATCGGTGGCGTAACGTAGTGGATAGGCGAGTCGCGCACCCCACCGACTTTCTTACTCTATCACACGTACCTCTATCATGGCTCCACGCCACGCTACTCAATTACTCTCAAATGAATCAGATACTCAGCTTGCTATACAATCTCTTGATTCTAATCAAATTTAAACAGGCCGCTGTGCATCTTCGATCTTTAACGTGCCTGGATCAACATTACGCGATCGACGCGCTGGGAAGCGTGCGCGACGCGATTGCCAGCCCAACTCAAAGAAGCTTACTTAGATAGAAGAGGAGATGATTGTTGATTATATACTTGATCTAGGTCTACGTGGATTTTCGCCTACCTACGCAGCTATACGCGATACGGCTGATAGACTGTTAGCTACGCGCGGCGCTGGCCAGGTTGGACAGAAGTGGCCAGCCAACTTCGTTGGGCGTACAGATAGACTTGTGACGCGTTTTAATCGGGCGTACGATAGGCAAAGAGCTCCATGTGGAGATCCAATTCTAATTAAGAGCTGGTTTGAGCTTGTGGAGCAGACAAAGGCCAAGTACGGCATCTGTGACGAGGACGTCTACAACTTTGACGAAGCTGGCTTCTCAATGGGCAAGATTACCACTCAGCTCGTCATTACAGCGTCAGAAAGAAGAGCCCGACCAAAAGCTGTCCAGCCAGGTGGTCGTGAGTGGGTGACGTTCATCGCTGGGATTAACGCAGCTGGCTGGTCTATCCCACCGTTTCTGATCTTTACTAGCCAGCACCACCTCTCTGCTCGGTACGAGGAAGCAGGGATCCCACGCGACCGGGCAATCGCAGTCAGTGACAATGGCTGGACAAACAACGAACTAGGCGTTGCATGGCTAAAGTACTTCGACGCTCATACGAAGACTCGCGTTGTTGGTACACGTCGCCTACTTATCTTTGATGGCCATGAGAGCCACAACTCTTTTGCGTTCCAAGAGCTCTGCAAGGAGAGCAATATCTACACGCTCTGCATGCCGCCGTACTCATCTCATCTACTCCAGCCTCTTGACGTTGGCTGCTTCTCGCCATTGAAGCGCGTGTACAGCCGCGAGGTGGAGAGCCTAATCCGTCATCACATCAACTACGTCACTAAGCTCGAGTTTCTGCCAGCGTTCAAGACAGCGTTTGATCGATCCTTCACGCCAGCCAATATCTGCTCAGCTTTTCGAGGCGCAGGCCTTATTCCTCTCCAGCTAGACGTAGTTCTATCAAAGCTTGACGTAAAGCTCCGTACGCCTACTCCACCAGCTGTTCTAGCAGAGACTCTCTGGCAGGCCTGTACGCCGAGCAACGTACGCGAACTTGAAGTTCAATCAACGCTGATAAGTAATCGCGTTCGACGGCATAAAAGCTCATCACCAGCTTCAATTATTGCGGCGATTAGTCAGCTTAAGAGGGGGGGCAGAGGTGATGATGCTTTCGGCTGAGCTAATGCGCGATCGAATCGCCAGCCTTGAAAAGGCTAACGAGGCAGCTATAAAGCGTAGGCAGCGTAAAAAGAAGCGAATACAGAAGCGAGGAGTGCTTACGAAGGGAGCTGGCGAGGATATAATTGCCCAATACGAGACTGATGAGCAGATTGCTTGTGAGGAGCGCCAGGGAGGAGAGCGATCAGGTGTTAGCCGTCAAGCTTTGTCGCGCTGTAGTAGGTGTAGAGAGACTGGCCATAATGCGCGTACATGCAAGAAAGATACTTTAGATACTCCTTAATCTCCTATATTGTTGAGAATACAGTCCGTAAGTGACTTGGTGGTATCAAGCGGAGGAGTAGTCACATGATTGGTGACACGTGCAGGTGGGTCCTAGCGGGGAGCTTGGACGCAGCTGCACGCAACACGGATCTACGAACGTGTGAATAGCTCCTTAGTCAATACAATACGAATCTGTACCACCACTACCGTTGTGCCTTAGAGAGCGCTCTATTAGGTAGTCATACTACTACTAATAGTGTCAGCTTCTCAATATATATCAATATATATCAAGATAGTTAAATAGTGGTAGAGCTATACACTTGTAGAGGTGCGCAAAGTTGGTAAGGTGGCCCGCTCGCTTGCCTGATGTTACAAGTAACAAGAAGGATTCTCTCCTTGACAAGTGACGAGATGGCTGAAGGCCTATGGACGTCGTCAGAAGGTAATAATCATCGCGGGGCTAAGTCACGTGATGTACCATCCCGCCAAGAGCAACCATCCGGGGGATGGCAGGACTGGAAGCAATCAGGATATAAGGATGGATGGATTCCATTATTACTCTCGTTGTGGTCAACTCAAATTGTACTTTCTTACTAGTTACTTTACTTAACAAGATTATTATTATTATTATTATTATTATTCCATTTAGAGTCCTTTTGTCCGATTGAGGCGAGGTTTTGCTCCATGATCGAGCCGATGGTGGTTGGGGAAGGACATGAGACCCCCAAACCAGGGCTAGCGCCGGGACTTAGCACTGCCAAGCCCGAGGCGAGGCCACCTCCCACAGACAGAGCCGTAGACAGAGACAGACAATACACTTGATCCCATCCATAAAAATCTGACAATTAAGAGTCTCACTGCCTGTACCGAGTACAGAAGAGTCAATCAAAGTTACTTTATACTACAAATACCGTCATTACGACGATCCCCACGCTACAACACGTAAGCGCCGAACCGAAGAGTCATCAAAACTCATCGACAAGATGTCTGTACCATCAAACAGAGATCCAACAGTGATCCTAACGGATTATACCAATTGGGCTAAATAGTACCAACAACTACAAGCGGAATGCGCCGCATACCAAGTGTGGGAAAAGGTAGATCCAAAGCAACGCGGGATCCCTCTAATAGAACCACAACCACCACTAGCTCCACTTATCGGAAGCTATCAGCCATCAACTGCAGCGACGAATCTGCACGTTACCCAATATCGCCAAGCGATCGGCGACGATAGCGCCGAAGCGCCAGCCTACGTACCGGTACGACCCTCGGACCTCGCGACGAACGCGAAGACGTCCTATAAAGAAGATATCGATTATTACCGAATACAACTAGAAGAGTTTAAAATACTTAACCAGAGATATCAACAAGAGCGGACCGGACTCGGAAAGCTCACCGAGCACATAAGGAAGACTGTGTCACAACACCTCTTCTACAACTGCTGCAAGGCAGGTCTTTCCCATCGGCAGTGGATCGAAAACTTAGCCGCAAATGTTGGGATTGACACGAAGGAGGAACTCAAACGTGCGAGAGAACGTTACCTCGCGGCCCAAAAACCGATGAGGTTGTTAGCACAGTGGGAGACCTGGCTAACTGAGATGGACCATGCAATCACGGAAGGCAAGGCCCTTGGCATACCTGAATGCCAAGACGAAGAGTTTATCAAGGAGGACTTTGTCAAAGCAGTTCTCAAACCATCACCAGAATGGACTACCGCGTTCATGGCCGGTGGAAATAAAGACCCACGTGTCACTGTACGGATGATGATTAAACAGTTCCGAGAGTACGCCTCACTGTTGCATCCGATCAAACACAAGGTCCCGAAGGCCGCCTTTGTAGCAAGTAGACCTCAACTGAACGGCGAAGACGCAGATAACGCCGCCGAGAAGGCCCCAGGAAAGCGAGGTCGCGGCAAAAGCCGAAGGACTCCCGGACCGGGCAAGGATAGGAAACAATGCAAGGTATGCGACCAACAGCACGAACTAAAGAATTGTTGGTACGCGTTTCCGCACAACGCACCTGTTTGGTGGAAGCCACGTGAAACACTGAAGACGATGGCTCAGCACCGAATTGATAGCGACACTGATCTCGAACAAGAGATAAGGGGAGCCAAGAGAGCTAAATTAGGGACACCCCAGATTAAGAAGTCACAGAGCACTCCGGTAGAGGATACTGTCGAGTGACCAGAAGGCCGGAACATAGGCCAGATTAACCTTATGATATTTGCCTCATCATTTATGGCAAAGGAATCTAAGTACCCACTTCAACGTTCTTACATAATGGACTCCGGAACCACTATACACGTCGGCAACGACCTCGGACGATTCACGGATATTCGACCGCCTATGACAGGAGACTTCCTCTGGGCAGGCAATACAAGGGTGTGGATTAAGGCATACGGTTCAGTTACTCTGAGAGTGGATAGCGCAGACGGTCACCGTCTCCTCTACCTCGAGAACGTCGCCTACTGCCCTGACCTACACTGCAGTCTTGTCTCCTTCCGGATACTCCGCCGGCAAGGTCTTTGGTGGGACACCAAATCCGACCCAACAATCCTCCGACGGTCCGACGATAGCGAACTGGCAGTACTACACGAGAAGTACGGACAATGGATACTGGAACTCAATGACGCTGAGGCGCGAGCAGCGTTTTCAACGCAGCAGCCAACGCGCAGGACAGCCGTACGAAAACGAGCTGAGGCTATAGTCTGGCACAAGAGACTTGGCCACCCTGGATCCGACGCCCTAGAACACCTAGTGAACCAATCTGAGGGGGTGAAGATCGTCGGGGTCCCCACAGTGAAATGCGATGCCTGTGGGATATCAAAGTCGAAGCGAATGATACGACGGACGCCCCGGACTATTTTGGAAGGTCCGGGAGAGCGAGTTGCGATCGACTTTCACGACTACGAAGCAGAAAGTACGACCAAGGAGAAGAGTCAGATGCTTATTAACTGCCGCGTTACGGGATACATATGGGATTTCTATCTTAGTGACAACCGAACGGCAAGAGTCATCCTTAAGAGCCTTAAGATGTTCGTCACCTTCATGATGAATCAATTTGGTATAACGGTAAAGGTTATTGAGACGGACAACGAGATATTTTCCGTGAAGCCAGAGGTCGCCAGATGGTGCAGAACAAGAGGTATAGTACTCGAGCCTTCCGCCCCCGATACGCAAGCGCAAAACGGAGGAGCCGAACGCTCAGGGGGTGTGGTAAAAGAAAAGGGTCGAGCAATGCGACTCGATGCACATCTGCCGTGGGACCAATGGCCGGAAATCGCCCGGACCGCCGTCTACCTACACAACAGGACGCCGAAATATCAGAACCGCTGGAGATCTCCATACGAGATGTTCTTCACGGCAATCGCTTTCCAGAATGGAGTTGTTACATCACCACGCAAGCCCAACCTGTCGCATTTACGAGCGTACGGCTGTAAGGCATTTGCGATGACGGATGACACGAAGCGAGGAAAAGGACGTCTACAGAGATTTGACCCGAAAGCCTGGATAGGGTACTTAGTTGGTTACCGTTCGACGAACATATTCCGAATATGGGTACCATCTATAGGCAAGGTCATTAGCACTCGCGACGTTGTATTCGACGAGGAAGTCGTATACAGTGGAGAGCATAAAGAGGTTATGGACAATCTTATACATAGCACCACAGAGGAGATAGCAGCATGGATTCGAACTATTGAACTGCCTCCTAGACCAAATCCCACACGGGAAGAACTTGGAACTTTCTACGAAGATGAGACCATTGCTAGAGCGCCGGAAAATGGGCGGCTCGAGTATGATGAGGCGGGAAGGAAGGTAGTACCTTATCCGACGCCACCACATACGCCCCCACCGGCAGCACTGCTTGCTCAAATGCTAACTAATGTGGAACACCCCTTCAGGGACGATGATACCGGAGGCTACGGCCTACAATCCGAAGAGACTGCCTACGGGAAACAAGGTCTTGACACTGGCTACGGCAAACAAGGTCTCGCGAGTGGTATCCTCCATCCGGAACACAGGATGTTGAAGGAGCCATGGGCAGCCGCCTTTATGGCAGGCACCAAGGCAGGAAACGTTCAAAACTTGGCAGGAGAGCGACTGGACAAGGCAAAGCTTGAGCGTATAATGCGAAACGGCAAGAAGCCTCATCGCAGCCAGCTGCCACCGCCTCCCCAAGCGAACGGCCTGCGAGAGGATCACGAGTTGTTCCATTTTTTCAAAGAGGCTGAGATTACACATCTCCATAGCCACAAGGAAACCAGATCCTGGTCAGAGGTCCCGGCGAAGACGGCTCGGAAGACCGACCAGCAGGTACTGGACTCAATGTGGGTATACACCTACAAATTTGACAAGCACCATCGATTCCAGAAGTGTAAGGCGCGATTGGTAGTGCGTGGAGACCAGCAACGAAATGTCACCGCACAAGAAACCTACGCTGCTACACTAGCCGGAAGATCGTTTCGGATGCTAGTGTCGATTGCGGCCCGGTTTGACCTAGAGCTGAAGCAATACGACGTATCGAACGCCTTCGTCAACGCAGATATTGATCGAACAGTGTACATGCGGATGCCCCCAGGATACAGGAAGCAGGGAACAATACTGCAACTAAACAAAGCGCTGTACGGCCTACGGATCTCGCCATTGCTCTGGCAAAGACACTTCACTGCCTTCCTCCTAGAAATCGGGTTCTCGCCAGTTCCCCACGAACCTTGCTGCATGATCCGAGACGGAGTGTTCATCTTCTTTTATGTTGATGACATTATCCTTGCCTCTTCGAAACGGCACGCGGAAGTAGCTCAGAAAGTGGAAGAGGAACTGAAACAGCGATACAACCTGACCGGAGGAAAGGATTTGCAGTGGTTTTTAGGAGTAGAAGTTATACGGGACCGAGAGAAGCGAAAGATCTGGCTGTCACAGAAAGCTTATGTTGAGAAGATTGCACGGCTGGCAACGAACAAGGACCAACGACACAACACACCAATGGCTAGAGTCGAACTAGTTGCACGTGAGGGTTTGGCGACTCCTGGAGAGATTAACTTGTATCAACGCAAGATTGGATCGTTACTCTTCGCCGCCGTCAACACCCGACCCGATGTCGCATTCCCAGTATCACGACTCGCCCGGTTCCTAACAAACCCTGGTCCACTACATCAAGAAGCCGCTGACCGAGTGCTATTGTACCTGGAGTCAACCAAGCTTCTATCCTTATCATTCGGAGGAGACGACCAATTGGTAGTAGCTAGCGATGCATCCTTTGCGGACAACACCGCGGATCGCAAGAGCTCCCAAGGGTACGTTATCAAGCTATTTGGAGGACTGATCGCATGGAGGGCGAACAAACAAGATACCGTCACGACATCTACGACCGAAGCAGAACTCCTCGCGCTATCGCAAGTGGCTAAGGAGTCCATGTTTGTGCGGATGCTGCTAGAGGAGCTTCGGGTAGAGTTGACGGAGAAGACAATTACGATACAGTGCGATAATACGCAGACGATCCGGCTGATCAACGAGGAGATCTCTCAGCTGACGACGAAACTCCGTCACGTGGACATCCACAATCACTGGCTGAGGCAAGAGGCAAAGCGAAAGTCTATCAGAGTCGTGTATGTACCGTCTGGCGAAATGCTCGCCGATGGTTTCACGAAGACCCTGCCTGCCAACAACTGGCCCCAGTTCTTGACGCAGGTCGGACTGGTTGAAGTGAAGGAACGAGACGTAGAGGAAGCAGATCCAGAGGAAATTCTAGAGAAGATGGAAAGTCTTGTTATATAGTCCGGTATGAATGTCGCAAAGACCACTCCAGCTCAGGCTGCCGAGGAGCGCCGAGCTGAGGGGGTGTGTCAGATTGAGGCGAGGTTTTGCTCCATGATCGAGCCGATGGTGGTTGGGGAAGGACATGAGACCCCCAAACCAGGGCTAGCGCCGGGACTTAGCACTGCCAAGCCCGAGGCGAGGCCACCTCCCACAGACAGAGCCGTAGACAGACACAGACAATACACTCTTGATCCCATCCATAAAAATCTGACAGGTGTATTAGATTGTGGCTGTTCTAGTATTAGAACTACCTGGTAGTAGCTAGTGGGCTTCTTGTTTGGTTTCTTCCTTGCTGGTACGGTGGTCCATGTGCTGTTTTTGTTCTGGGCAGCAATGGTAGCGTACGAGGTTCTATTTTGCTGGATGTTTTGTTGGCTGTTTTGTTGGCTGTTTTGTTGGTTGTTTTGATTATTGCTTATTAGATCCTGTTGAGTTTGGGTAGGTAGGTTGTTTGGAGTTGTAGCTGCGTTAACAGCCTTTTTGAGCGTTTTTGTAGCTTGTTGTGACGCTGTTGTAAGAGTTGCAGTATGGTAGGCTAGCTGAGCTGATAGTTTGTCGTTGATCTTATTTGTGACTCTTCCTGTTTCTGTGTAGTCTCTAAAGACGTCTAGGAGCTCTAGGATCTTGTTTTGGGAGATATGGGTTTGAGCCATTGTAGATGCTTGGAGGATTAGGTCTCTTGCCCAGTAGATAGCTTGTTCCGCATTTTTAGCAACTGGTTTAGCTGCATTATTATTTTGGAAGGGGTTCCTAGTTCTGTAGGCTATCTCGGGTGAGAAGTTGGCTTGTCGCTTGTTTAGTTGGATTGGGATCTCGAAGGAGATCGGCTGGGTAGGTTGGTTGGTTGGTGTAGCTAGGGGGCTTTGTTCTCCCTCTAGCTCCATTTCATCAGCTATTTGGTAGTTTGGGTCTGGGCTGAAGGCTGGTATATAGACTTCGATAGTGTCGCTGTCTGGCGGCATCTTATTCTTGTTTGTAGTTTTCTTATCGATAGGCAGTGGGCCGTGCGTTTTTGTTTTTCAGGACTCGGACGCGTCGCGTTCAGGATGTTTTGACTCCTTGTCTCTCCACAACCACGCGGCTGCACGGCTTGGGAGTAGTTGGAATATGTTTCTTTTGATGGGTTTAGTCGGTTTCTGATGGAGTTTTACGTGTTCTGAAAAACTCGGAGTTGGTGTTGTGTGTACTTAACAAGATTGTTACCTGTTGGTCTATAGCAATATAGATTAATAGTTGTCGAGCCTGTTGCCTCCCTTCTACCAAGCACGCCACTCCACTGTCTCGCCAGACAAATTTCACGTAACACTAACGTAAAGCTTACAGGCCTTAGTGCGGACCCGGATAGAGAAGTATAGAGCCCGAACCCCGTGTAACACCGCCCCTGTACAACGAGAAACCCGGTAAACCAAGAACAACCAATGGAACTGTAGGGATGACGAGTTTTGCAACAAGGTGGTGTGTTTCATTGGCTCTTCTCGGCCCACAGGGTTTCTCATTGCACAGGGATCATAGATTTTGATTCCTGAATTATTCAAATCAAACACCCGGAATCAGAGTCAAATCAGGCCGAGTCAGCACGAATCAGAGTCAAATCAGAGTCAAATCAGAGTCAAATCAGAGTTAGGTGTTGTTGGTGTTTTTGTATAGTTATACTGCAAATAGGGTCCTTAGAGCCTCACTGTCCCTCACTGTCGCTCCCATAATTACTGTCAATGTAGTCATTTGGCAGTCTATAAGCGACACCACGGTGTGACCAGTCCTTTAACAGCTCCGAGCATCTAATTGTGTTAGCACTCAACTGAGATCTCTCCCACGACGTTGTCCTTCTCGCCTTGCTAAATGTTCGCTCCGACTCAGCGCTCATTGCAAAGGCAGAGAGCACGTCAATAGCGAGTTGTGACAGGGCAGGGAAGGTTTGTCGTTGTGTCGGCTGGGCCCACCACTTAATAACCGTCATTTGTCTCCCTTCCAGGGTTGGCAGTCGACTCGGAGGGGCGTAGATGAAGGCTTTAAAGTTGTCCTCACTGTCTGCAACAACGGCTGATTGTCGTTGCCACTGATCAAAGGCTGACAACTCGGCTGCGGAGGTGTCTTGATCCCTTAGGCTGCTGGACAGGGTAGGCTCAAGCCGATCACGGTACATATGCCATAAGGCCTCTGCCCGTTGCAGACCTAATTTCAACCACTTCTTCTTCTCTGTTGTATTCCATTGATTCTGTAGCCATTTGTAACGACGCTCTGGGTGCAGGAGGGCAGCTGTAATGTAGGCACCACTCTCATCAATAAGCGCGTAGTACTTGCTAAAGAGAAACCAGGCCGTGTTCAGTGGGGCGAGCAGAGTCTTGTGCTTAGAATGGTGCCTCTGTTGTTCTTCGAAGTGGTTAATTAGGAATTCCATGGATGGTTGGAAACAGTCAAGGGTTGCTTGATATCCCTCTGCCTTAAGAGTTACCTCCTTAAAAGGAAGAAGGAAGTTATGGACATGTTCTAAGAGTGTCCATTCGTCGTCTGTAAGCACAACTAACTCCAGAGCATCAGGATATCTTGTATACAACGCATTGAGAATAGGCCTTGTTCTGAAGGCCTCTTCAATCATAAGAAGCCAACCATTCCACCGTGTCTCGCCTGGGATCTTAGGGATAGTTGCTGGGCACTCTGGGAACCCTTTCGCCAGTGTCTTAAAGGCTTGATTAAACTTGTCGTCTCGCAGAATAACTGCAAAACTGCGGAGTTTTGCGAGTGCAGGGTGCCTTACAAGGGCTGTCTTTGCAATGTTGTAGTTACTCCCACTGTAACTCTCCGTCCCGTCCCTGTCAGACTCCAATTGTGACAACCTTGCTCTTTCATATGCTAGTTCCGCTGCTTCCTCGTTGGTTGCGAACATAAAGGCCTGTGTAGCGAGGTTGATAATATGGCCAATGCAACGTAGTCTTCGTGTCTTCTCAGTCCAGTAGTTGATGCCTTCAACACGCGTGAAGGCCTCAATTGCACGGATAAGCGAGTCATTCACTCCTACATTGTCAGAGCTTATCCAGCCCAACCGTGTAGTAAGGTTGTACTTCTTGATAGTCTGTATAAGAAGTGTAGCCAAGTATGCCCCAGTTTTAGACTCTTCGCTATCAACGTTGACAAGGTCAAGAAGGAGTTGAATTAGCTGTCCATTTTGGTCAACAAACTGGACATTTACCGCCTGGAAGTGCTTATGCCCGTGCATCGTCTTCCACGTGTCAGTGCTGATGTGGAAGCAGCTGATTGTATCGTCGCAGAGATACCGAATAACCTCCTCTTGTTGAGCGCGGAAGTTCCGGACAATGCGTGAGGACAGTGAGCTACTGGAGCGAAGTAATACATGCTCAGCCTCGGGGTTGACAGCTATAATCAACGCTTTGAATTCGTCAGAGACCACTGATTTGTGCGATATACTGCACGCTGTCACGAAGCGGGCGAGGGCGTTGCGGAACGGCTGCTTTTGAGCAGCATTGCGGAGGACTGTGACGGTTTGATTGTGACTAGATTCAGCATGCTTTGTAGCCATATTATGAAGGCCTTGTTGCAGGTTGTTGGCTTGTGCAATCGTCGAGGGTGTAGCTGAGAATCTGCCCACAAAGATGGCATGTTTTCGGAGGTGACGAGCCGCATTGCTTGATGGGCCCTTCCAGTTACAATTGCCCTCTGCGCAGTAGAAGATTTGATGGCCATGATCATCCCTCTCAGCCTCGTAGGGTAGCCGTGCTCTTGCGTGCTTCCAAACTGACTTGTCCTTCTGCCCGAGGCCTCTGTGAGGTGTACTGCTGCCTCTCTTCCTCTTGAGAAACTGTGCCCCAGTCTCCGTCGCAGGAATAACTGGCGAAGGCGTCGGAGGTGCAGATGATTGGGACTGGCTGTCGGCATCGTTGAGGAAGGAGGCAATCCTCTCATTGATATCAATCAGGCTGGTATTGTCGGTGTCCTCTGCAGTTCCTGACTCGTCCAGCGGTGCGATTGACGCATTATCATATATATCATCCTCATCAGGGACAGCGAATGTCTGGGTTACGCGGCTTCTTCTAGGACGATTGGCCATAGTAGAAGCCTGGAAGGTGGGTTGTCAAGCGGAATAGCTTAGGAGGAATCATGTCGATTGGTCTATCTATCGCGAGCGGCAGCCTATATGAGCACAGTCCGCAACAATCAATTAAGTGGGTCCTAGAAGGTTCAGATTGGATTGATTGATTACCGCTTTAAGCCTAGTAGTTACCTATAGGAGTTTAAGCCCTACCTAGATAGGTAAGTGGGTCTAGGAGAGTGACCGGATTGAATTGATTGTTGCGGAGTCTACATATGAGGCTTCCTGGCTAAGAGCAAACAGATAGACAAAGATCAGATAGAACAAAGATAGGATAAAACGATAGGGCAAACAGCAATCAGCTGTACAGACCGGAAACTTCCCGGCTCCTTATCAGAGCTCTGGCTGACATAGGTTAGTAGGTTAGATGAGGGTGTGTATACAGCTGAGAGACCGAGTTCTTGAGGATTAGGTATAGCCGAAGTTGAGCCGGCTGATTCAATTGATTCAGAGTCAAATCAAAAGGTCATGAATCTGAGTCAAATCAATCAAATCAAATCAGATTTGATTTGATTATGAATCAGGAATCAAAATCTATGACAGGGATGGACATTACCTCCTGAGCCTTGTTTCTACCGGATGTCATGAAGCTCCCTGCTGTACATAAACGAGGTTTTATAGCAGCGATGCAACGTGAGATCTCTGATATCAAGCACAAGGACACCTGAATAGCATTAAAGATGATTAAAGTTGGTAGGGTGGGCGCCTCGCTTGTGTGGGTGACTCGCTTGTAAAACACGTTAACTATTTAATGTTTGTCGAACTCTGTTATTCTCTCTAAAGTCTGTCCCTATGTGACGAAAAACCCTGTGTGCCGAGAACGACCAACCGGATCGCAAAGATGACACACTTCTCTTGGACCCTCGTAATCCGATTGGTCATTTTCGGCACACAGGTTTTTCGTCACATAAGGACGGACTTTAAAGCACATCACGCCACCGAATCGCCAGACAACTTTCACGGAACACTAACGTAAAGCTCACCGGCCTTAATGTGGGATCCGGCAAGAGAAGTAAGTATAAATAGATCCAAACCCCGTATAACCTAGGGCAGAAACACTTCGGCTGAATTATGATTGGCAGACGAAACTTTTGAAAGGCACCTCTGTGAAGTCTGTCCCTATTTACTCACATCTAGGAATCTCCACTGCGTAGGTATAACGTGCTTGAACGATATTGGTGGTTCGCTGCGGGGGGTATTCGACCCACAGAGACGGACGTTAGCTATCTCGTCCTTATAGCCTCTCTAGTTCAAAAATTACGGATAACGTGAAAGACCTAATAAGATGCTTTTTTACACAACGCCATCCACCCTCCTCAAAGACACCTTCCCATTCTTCAAGTGTCGGAATATAGACTCCCATCATAGCGTGACCAAATTCAAAGCCCAAAGTAAAGATAGGCACATTGTCGACGTTGGTTGAGTACTTGCAGTGAGTTTTATCGGTGTTCAGTAGGATCCGAGTACCGTCACCGAGGAGAAAGCGGCGGACCTTAGGAAAGGCAGTACGCAACTTTTGGAGTGTAGCAATACAGTTCTCTCGAGGCCAGAAATCGTGGCCCATCATAAAGCATGTTAGAAGATCGACCTGAGCAAACTCGTCGCGGTAGCTCAATGCGCGCACGTCACCCACAACAAAAGACAACCGATCTCCAAAGCCACGCTTAATCGCGTCGGACCTAGCGACCTCTGTGGACGGTTTAGCGATATCTACGCCGAGACCAACAGTCCCAGGATATCTTTCAAGGATCTCCATTAACCGCTCGCCGCTTCCACTTCCTAGATCAACGACCGAATGGATTTTATAATCGATTCCATCCATAGCTAGCCAAAATGCTGGGTCGAAATGTTCGCGGCTGATGTCTTTGGAAGCGTACGAGATCGCAACCGAGTCTCGTTGGTAGAATTTTCCTGTGCGATTTTCGTTCCGTACCACGTACTGCATACGCGAGAGGAGTCCACCTGACCCAAGAGTGAGCCAATGGAAAATGGATTTCGATCGGTAGACCTCATCAAATAGCTTGCCAGCCGTGGCTGTGTGGTTGTCGTACTCGACCACATGTACGACAGCCAGCGCGGTGACTAAGCCGTGGATAGAGTCATAATGTAGGTCATGTTGCGCTGCAAATTCTTTGACATCCGTCTTATTTCCGTTCCGGAGTTGATCAAGCAGCCCAATTTCCCAGGCAGCGCCGATTGATGCGGCAGCGATGGCCGAGTTAAATATATAGGCGACGTCGCGATTTGAATCGACCATATTAAGACTGTGTCCAACACAAGATAAGAAAACAAAAGAACAATAACAGATCTAGAATGTGACTTATAACGATTCAATAAGATAGAGGATTAGTCGTTCCTTGAGTAAAGAGATTGGCTTAGATATGGCAGATCAGATTGTAACAACGAAGCCTCAGCCTAAAAAAATGCTACTAGAATTTTGACCAGAAGGAAACATGTTATATAGCTGAGGCTAGTAGTAATTTCTCACTCTTTAGATTAACTAGGGTATGTAAAACTATGTAGCCGGTTATGTTACAGCCGGAAGTCAGTATTCCGAAACATAGACTTTTAATACGGCTACCTCAGGGCTTATTATAGATTGGGTAGCTTTTGAGATAGTACCTTACAGGATATGATAGTGTCGGACGGTACTAGGTAAACAGTTGTCAGAATATGGGCATATTTTGGGTGGTGGACAAAATCTGGGTGTTCGGAGCACCCAGATTCTGTGGATCAGTTAAAATTAGTCAGCGCGCACGATCCACCGCGATCCAACTGATCGAACTGCGTTGGATCAGAAACAACACAATACGACACCACATCAGACCAGAATAATACAATTAATCCCTATCATATTATTAGATTATTATCCCCGTCTTTGATAACCCATCACAATCTGACAACAGTACACGGCAGTTCTTGATGGTTTGACCGGGACCATAGCCGTCACAGTCCGCAACAATCAATTAAGTGGGTCCTAGAAGGTTCAGATTGGATTGATTGATTACCGCTTTAAGCCTAGTAGTTACCTATAGGAGTTTAAGCCCTACCTAGATAGGTAAGTGGGTCTAGGAGAGTGACCGGATTGAATTGATTGTTGCGGAGTCTAATAGCCGTTACCGTGACACTAGCCGTTACCGTGACACTAGCCGTTACCGTGACACTAGCCGTTACCGTGACACTAGCCGTTACCGTGACACTAGCCGTTACCGTGACATTAGCCGTTACCGTGACACTAGCCGTTACCGTGACACTATCCGTACTCTACTACTCATACTAATAATACAAAGCTACTAATTCCATAGTCAACACCAATGTAAGTCAGATAATTGCGAGCTACACATTGGTTTATTATCCCCTACATATCGACTCTACACTATCGGCTACTATAACTAAGGCTTCAGCTTATCCCCCTTGTATTCGTTGTTCCGTATTTCGTTGTCTCGCTTGCCTTCATAGTAATTGATTAGTAAGTACGAAATCTAGATTTATATTCAAGTGGTTTAACTAATCTTTGCCGTAAGAGTAACAAGCTACTAAGAGAATACTAAGGACTACAATTTATCATGTCGGGTTTTCCGCCTCCTCCAGTAGCTACTATTGATTGGAACAAAGCCGACAATAACCGTCAAGTATATGAAGGTGTGTGCATACTAGGTATTAGAAAATAAAAGACTTATAGTTGTAGTAAATGGTCACATTGAATCCACGTACTCGAAAACCACTGGGGAATGGACACCTCTTAAGTTCGTTTCAGATCCTTATATGCGCGTCCACGGCATGTCGCCAGCTCTGAACTACGGCCAACAGGCTTTAGAAGGGTTCAAAGCCTTCCGTACGCCTGGCGATCCCGGTAGAATTGTCCTGTTCCGTCCCAACCTCAACGCCATCCGCTTTCAGCATTCAAGCATCGTCCTTTCGATGCCGCCTGTCCCCGTTGAGATGTTTCTCCGAGCTTGCAGGGCTGCTGTAGCTCTGAACGCTAACTACGTTCCACCGTATGAGTCCGGGGGAGCGCTTTATGTTCGACCGCAGCTGTATGGGACAAGCGCTCACCTTGGACTCAGTGCACCAAGTGAGTATACATTCTGTGTCTTTGTAGTTCCGACAACATGTGCCCACCTTGGAACACAGCCAGTTAAGGCACTTATCTTAGACGATTTTGACCGCGCAGCACCAAAGGGTACAGGTCACGCAAAGGTGGGTGGAAATTATGCACCCGTAATTCGTTGGAGCGACAAGGCACGCGCAGAAGGATTTGGTATCACACTACACTTAGACAGTGTGCATCACAAAGAGGTCGATGAGTTTAGCTCTTGCGCATTCATTGGCGTGCACTCCCAGGGCGATTCAAACATAACATTAGTGGTACCTGACTCTCGTTGCACAATCGATAGCGTCACGAGCGACAGTGTTCAGCATATCGCTCAACAATTGGGATGGAAGGTGGAAAAGCGCCCTGTCGATTACAAAGAGTTGCCCTCTTTTAGCGAAGTCCTTGGAGTGGGGACTTCAGTGGTCCTAATACCGATCAAATCCATCACTCGACGATCTATTACACAAGGAATGCCTAGCACTCCACGCCTCCAAGTTGAGGCTGAGTCTGAGATTATTACATATCTATCCGAAGAACAAAACAAGGGTGGTTTAGTGTTTTCCACGTTGTTGAATCAACTGAGCGCCATCCAACGGGGCAAGGCCTACGACGAGTTTGGATGGCTTTTTACTGTGCACGAAGAAGACCGAAATATCTAACGTCTCTCCCTGAGTGCTGGGATACCTGCCGTGCTGGAACAAATGAGAGGGGTACTTTGACTTTCAACACTTCGCTTTCTGCGCGCATACTGAAAATCTTGAGGAGATTATGACACCTACTATCCATCACCCCGTAGCGAGAAAATCACTAAAGTCTGTCCCTATGTGACGAAAAACCCTGTGTGCCGAAAATAACCAACCGGATCATGAGGGTCGTAGAGAAGAGTATCATCCTTGCGATCCGGTTGGTCATTTTCGGCTCACAGGGTTTTTCGTCACATAAGCGCAGACTTTAGAAAGCTAGTAAAAATACAAATTAACTTTTCACCTCACCCACGCGTGCAACAACTATCTTCATTTACCTCTAATGTATAGCTATTGCTTTTTCTTGTTGAGGCAGTGCCACCTTGTTGCTGTTACAGCGGCTTGTTGCTTTGGCTCAGCTAAATTCATTGCTTCTGCAGTCTTGCATAGACTGCGACAATAGGCAATACATTAGTAGTACCGTCCACGATACAGTGTTTGTATACTTTAGTTTTTTATGCCTCTTATCTGATAAGTTCTCACATTGCTAGGTACTGCTTTGGTCAGCTCTTCGAGCTTCGACAGATCGCGCTTCGGGTTTAAGATATTGTAATGCTTCTAGATACCATCTACAGCAACTTTCTCTCCTAGTAGCTAGAACTATAACTCCTGGTCAGCTGGTTGTTCCTGTACAACAGTCACTCGTGTGACATTAGTGTCGCCATACGGCATCGTTATCTCAGTCGAGTTAACAAGATAAAGGTGAAAGTAGTCGTTGTCATTTACACATCTACAGCCATTTTAGTACTGAGTTACATAGCCCTAAGAAATACACACCAAACTCACAACTATGGGCGAGGCATAGCAAGGATAGGCTAGGTCAATTCATATCTAACAAGGCAAGCGTAATTATGCACTACGAATCCTGATGTAATAGATCACGTAAGAAACTAACTAGTTATGCTAGATAATAAACAATCGCTGGCATAGTAATTGCTTTAAGCTGACCGAGATTTTTCCCTTTAAAATGCGTTTCTAGGA